GTCCTCGCACCGCCGCCACGCCGCGCGGAGCTCGTGGACGAGGTCGTGCGAGAGCACCTCGTGCGGCGTCAATCCCGCGAGGAGCGCCTGACGGAGCAGCGCGGTCGCGCGCTCCAACTCATCCTGGCGGAGCAGTCGCGCGATCCGCTCGAGCTGGTGCGATCCCAACCCCGTCTCCTCCTCTTTCGGGAAGCGGGTGAGGAGGGCGGAGGCCTCCTCGCTCAGGAGATCGTGCCACCCTTGCAGCGTGTGAATCCGCTTCTCAAAAGGAAGGGAGGCATCGCCGGATCCCCCTCCCACGTTCCCGCCCCCTCGCATGCTCAGGCATCTTTTTTTGAAACAAAAAAGCGCATGGGCAACCCCTTCCCGAACGAGCAGGGGCCGAAAGCCTTCCGGGATCTTTTCAAACAGAATTTTCAGCAACACCATGACGAGCGCGTTGAGGGTGAGATGGGAATCCCGCAGCATCGCGTCGAGGACCTCGCACATCGCCGCGTTGCAGAACCCCCACGCGACGAGTTGCTCGCCCGAAGCCATCGTTAACACGCTCAGGAGGAAATTCATCGCGCCGATGCGAATCTTCAACGCCTCCGACTCCGTGCAAAGCCGCACCACACTCGGCACCGCGCTCAGCACGACGTCAAAAAGCTCCGGTGACGTCGTGTAGATCTCCCGACGCTGCTTTTCCAGCTCCTCATTCGGCCGCATCGAGATGCTCAGGGGGACTTGTTGCCCGGAAAAGATCATATCCGTAAAGGCGTGCTGCCCGCCGTGGTGCTCCTTCGCGTGGCGGAGCAAACACGCCGAGCAGAAATCCCAATCGCGGCATTCGTTGCAGCGGTACCAATCCCCCGGGTGGCAGACCTTCTCGCAGGTGTTGCAGCTGTGGGCGCCGAACTTGGTGTTCTGGTAGCTCGGCTTCGTCGCGAGTTTGATGTCGTCGCGCTGGTAAATCCGATTGCGCAGGTCCTCGGCGTTGAAACCGCCGCCGCCCTCCTCCGTGAGCTCCTCGCAATTCTCCTGGTCGGATTCAAGAACCACCTCCTCGTCCTCGTCCTTTGGCGTCTTCCCATCCTCGCCGAAACCTTTGTTGAAGAGGTTCGCGTTCACCTCCAGCGAGGAGGCGAACCGCCCCCGCATCTCCAAATAGACGAGCTCGTTCAGATGGGTGAGGTACCCCACGCGGCAGGGAACGAGGCAGGCCGCCAAAATCTCACAAATATCACGCGTTTGATTGAAACTAAGGCGAAAATGCGGGGGCGCCTTGTCCGCCATGGCAACCGGGCTCGACCACGACGCGTCGCCCTCCCCGGTGGAGGTGGAAACCCCTTCAAGAGAAGCCTCTCGCGCGACCGCGGCCGCGGTAGGGAGGGTCGTAAACGCCTCGAGGAGATTCACAAGCTGCTGGAAAACCCCTCGTTCGACAACGAGGCGGGTAACCTCGGGGGAGTAGGTCGTGGCGGCGAGGATGAGGCAGAGGGCGGTGGAAAAAGTCGCGTCGGCGTGGGAGGGTCTCGTCAAAATCACGAGCAGCGGCGCCACGAGGTCGCCAAGGATCGCGGAGACCATCTCCGGACGCTCGGAGACCCCGAGGACCGCGCGAAAGAGGGTGATCATCGCCTTCGAGCGGATCTGAGGGTCGTTGTGGAGGATCGTATCCTGGATGGTGGGGAGGACGCCGCCGATAAAGGGGTAGTTGCTCACCGTTAGGAAGCGCGCCATCCGCGCGATCGCGTTCCAGATCTTCCGCTGTGAGGAGATGGTGAAAAAGTCGATAAAGGAAAGCATATCCCCGATGCCGTTGTTGCGGAAGACCGCCGCGGCCCCGTTGGAGGCCTGGCAAAGCTTTTCTAGACAGGTTAAGCACTGATCGGAGAGCTCCATATCTTGGATTTGTCGAAGATTCTGAAGAAGTATATTCACATTCTCATCTGTGCTTAGAATTCCTAAAGTTTGCGGAATGGAATCCGCCATGTAGGTGAGCGCGCGGGCAGCAAGCAACACAAGCTCCGGATTGTGCGTTTTTTGCATGCACTTGAGCACCAGCGGGACGATCTCGTTAGTGTCGAAAAAGGTAAGGGAGAGCGTGGTTGACATATTCAACTGGTTGCAAAGGCACTGGAGCGCGGTCATCTGTTTAAACTCATCCGTGCTGGAGAGCTCCTGTTGGAGCTGAGACAGCACATCGGAATGGTGGCGAGAAGAGATCGTCTGCTCAACTAAGTGGGATAAAAACAAATCCATTATGTCTCACGACGCTTTCTCAAATGAAAACCGTGCTACGGTCTCTTTGTTTTCCTTTGCTTCTATCGCAAAGATTAAATGTGCTCCTAAAGGGACTGTTAAGTAGTGAAAGCGCCGATTGATAAGTGTCAATACAACGGATTGAATGACTAAGAGATAGGTGAAGTATTGAAAAGCAAACAAAAATCTATCTTCCAAATAAAACTCACTAATAAGATTGAATTATTAGTGAAACTAAGATAAAATGTCTAGGACAAAAGTATAAACCTAAACGGGCAATAAATAAGCAATAATAACAATTGAAGATCGAAGAAAAGTGAATCGTGATGTTTTAAGAGTGAGAAATACAAACATAATGTCAAACACTCTATACATATAGTTATTTCCACAAATATATCTACACCAATTAGACAACAATTAGTAAAAAACTGTTGGAAAAACATTACCAAAATAAGCAATCCTATTGTAACAAATTCCTATCAAATCCCACATCAGCAGCTCCAAAGCGGAGTGTACCTTAGCTTGTCTGCCATCAGAACGAAAGCAAAGGGAAAGTGTGCGTGAGTGTGTGGGGGGGAGGGGGGGAGGAAGGAATCTAAAAAAGAAAATACTAATAATTATAATAAGGATCCATTATCCTACCAAATAGGAATCCTCTCTACTACATAAACCTTCCTCTATTTCTAAATCTACCGTCTTGCTTGCACCTGCTTTGAGAAGAACAACAAAAAAATGTAGATTTCTGTAGATCATATACCCCTATTATTTGGGTCTACAAGATTTTATAGCGCAAATTGAACCTATGCGTATATCTTCCTTCAAAAATCGCTCATATATATTATATATACATATACATATATAGATATAAGTATACATAATATGTATTGCGGCTTACAACGCGGAAGCTGCTTCCTGCTCCTGGGCTGCCTTTAGCGCCTGCTCCCGACGGATTTTGCGCATAATCTGATAATGGTAGTGCTTGTCGAAGCCCTTCGCCTTAGCTTTGGCGTATTCCTCTCTCGCGCGCTCCTCTCCACCCACACCCCACGCCGGTTGAAGAAGGGACGCGGCATCATCGCCACGAAGCCACGTTCGCTTAGGCCAGTTAAAGATAAAAGGCCCATAGACATAAAACTTCCAATAGCTCACCTCCTTATCGCGTCTGGCGAAGTTTCGACGCTTCATGTAAATCGAGCGGTCGTACGTCTCGGAGCTCCAGTCTAGCCAAGAAAAGAAAGCCTTCCCGGCCTCACTGGTTGGACGATCTAGAAAGCGCTTCATATAAATGTCACTGTCAAACATGAATTGCAGATGCGACATAAAACTGTCGTCGTATTTAACGTCCTCGTAGCGCACGAGACCGCCTCGGCTGTAGTAAGAGTAGACCTCCATCATCGTGGGTGGGATCAGGTACAAGAGATACATGATCGCAAAAGGAATCCAAGCAACATCAAAACCCGCCATTGTTCACGATTCGCGAATGAACTTTACTACGATACACTTAAATATATGTATATTTATATGACCAACCAAGGATAAAGGGAAAAAATCACGCTGCAGGCGATAAGAAACAGAGCAGCAGAGAGAGCAAGAGGGACGATGCACTTTTTCTTACCCTAGAATACTTCAGTAAAAAAACAACTAATGCTACAGAAGCCCTTAGCTTATTGGATAATTCATTGTAAAAGAGTAGAAGAAAGTTAATGAAAAAGGTTAATTATCTTAGAGAGAACCTCTTACATCTCAAGCAAAAACAGACATACACCCAATATCGATTTTAAAAAACCCAACCCCATTTGAGATTTCCCTCAATAAAACTCATGCATCAAAAAACAATAGTTACTCTATGTCGACTTTATCTTTGAATGCAGATGGGATTCTTTTCTGCTTAAAATTTAATGCCTCCGAACATGTAGGTTTCAAATTTTCCTACTTGCATAGTATTCATAGCTCTTGGCTAACTATTTCAACTATCGCACTTCCACGAACGAGGGCCATTCCCATAGAAACTCGATCCTCCGCCGGCTGGGCCTCGATTGCCGGGTTGCGGGTTTCGTCGACGCTATCGCACAAGACGATGCTCATAAACTTATCAACGCCACGCAGCACGCCGGATATCGAGCGACCGCCCTGTAGTTTAACCAAAACTCGCTTCTCCATGAAGCTATTTAAATTAGGGAGCCCAGTTTTGGATGACATGTTTTTTACTGCTTATTAAAAAAATGTCCTTGAATTATGGTTACTATTTTTTGTAAATGGCTGTGGTAAGGCACTTTATCCACGCACACGCTAGGAAATAATTCTTAAAGGAGTTAGAACTAGCTGGTAGTAATAGGTATTATGAAGAGATTTCACTTAATTACCCTGTCGTTCCCTATTGTGTGTACCACCATGCAACCGTACCAAGGAAAGAGGAAGTAAAGTATTGACCACTTTCTACTGTAGGCGCCGTGCAATTCTACGATGGTTCACCATACTTTTTAAAATTTCAACTGAGAGGTACATCAAGTCTACCAACGAGGACATAAAATTACATTTAGCACGATTTAAGATACATTTCGTAGGTAACACCCTTCATATGCGGTAATAGGAAATAATAAAAAACACCAAGATGCCACCCATTCTCTTCTAGGTTAGGCTGAAAGAAGCTTCAAAAAAAGATAGTCACAAGACGTAAGTAAAAGATCCTCCAAGGGAAGAACTTCCTAAATTCTTACCTTCCTTGGATTTAAACACTCCATCTTTCCGCAGTAGGGAAAGAAAAGAGACCCTTCATCTGAAATCAAAGAATCCGATTCTTTGTAGCATATGCTCCGTCACCGATTTCTACACCATCTTCGATATCCTTGAAAAGTTTCTCTCGCGCTTCATCGATCTCATTCCGCTCTTGGATCTCCTGCTCTTTTTCCTTGCTGACGGTCTCGATGTACTGCCGCGCGATATTCTCGAGTTCGTTAGGGTCCGACGCGAGATTTCTCGTCAGGCTTCCCTGGAAGGTGCTTCGCCGACTGAGTCGCTGTCGCGCGGCAACGCGCTTCTCCTTAATCGAGCGCTCCAAATTTTTATCGCGGAGGCTTTCGTTCTCGAAGAGGAGGCCGATGACGTTCTTTTCATCCGGCGCCAACGTCGCGAGAGATGGGGAGAGCTCAATTAAGGTGACGTTGCCGTCGATGCCGCCCGTGGCGACCATCCGGCCCTCGTGAGTCGGCTTCACCGAGTGCAGCGCATAATCGGAGACGTGAATGCTGAGCGAGGGTGTTGTTTGGCGGAGCATGAGATCCCAAATATCGAGATGCCCATCCATACGGGTGGTAAAGAAAACCCCCGGCCGTACCGTATGCCAGGCCCCACTAGTAAGGTACGCATCATGGTAGAACGTACTGAAGGTGGGGGAGAATTTAAAGTCCTCAAACCACAGCCGTGCGGTCCAGTCCCCGACCGAAAGGAAGTATTTCGCGAAAAATGGATTTCGCTGCACGCTGTACACCGGCCCGTGATGCCCCACAAAGGTGTTCGGCCCGATCTTCTCCTGCTGCGTTTTGGCCTTGCGATTGCAGGAGAGGATGACGCCTTGTTCGGTGCCGATCATGTACTTCGCGGGTCCGCCCACCTGGGGGTCGTAATCCAAGCAAAGCCCCCCGAGAACGTCTTTGAACCCCCCATCCGTGCTCTTTGGCTGGAGAAGGAGGTTATCCTCCGTGATGGAGTGGATCTCCGTCGGCTTATCGGGCAGCCGACAATCCCAGACGAAGACGTTGCCATCCGTGGAGACGGAGAGGAGCTCACCGGATTTGCTTTGCAGCCAACGCACCGCCCAGACGGGGTCTTTATGGCTTTCCTCCACCCGAGAGTGCGCGGCGGCGCGGTTTGGTTGACGGCAATCCCAGTACTGCACCACCCCATTCCAACTCCCCCCGGCGATAAAATGAGGGTCCTTCGCGTAATATTCGATGCTGCAGAGCGGGGAGGCCGCGACGAGGGTCTCCGTCGGCTCGTTCGGGTTCAACACATCCCAGATGTGGGAGTGCGGGCTCATCGTGGGGAGGTGACTTTGAAATTTAAGCCGGCAGTACCCCACGGCGAGTTTGCGGCCATCGCCTTGCCAGGAAAGCGCCGCCGCCGTCCGCTTCATCGGGCTCGGATCTTTGAAAACGGCGACGATCTTCGCGGAGGCGGGGCCGACCTCCTCCGGCTCCCCCGCCGCCGGCGCCGTTTCCTGGAAATACTCCCCGTAAATATCGATCGCATCGTTTTGTTTGATGCACTTCTCAATGCACTGGTCGACTAATCTTGAGCAGGAGCTGAGGTAGCCCTCCTCCCGCTCGACCTTTTTGCAGTACTTCATCTTTTCCTCGAACTCGGTGGGATCGACGGTGTTCGGCCATCCCGCCTCAAAGTGGGTTTGGGGATGGCTACGTAATTTGACCCGCTCCGTATTCGTGCTCGCCTCGGAAAGCTTCGGGGCGTTTTGGATTTGAACCTCCCGTGGATTCAGGGTGGTGTAGCGCTCCTTCACACTAGGGTTGGGGGCAATCTCCATCAACATCTCCGTCTCATTCGCCTGGAACTCCGGGATTCGCCGGAAATCTCGCGCGAGGCGCGAGTAGCTGTAGGATATCTCAGTCATCTGCACTCTCACACACTTACGCACCGGATGTACACAGGGCTAATACGTAACACGGCACCACAAGGGACCAAACTAAATCAATAATGGTAAATGTATATATCGGAAAGGGATCCTTTTTATCTATTGGTCTAGCAGGACACCACTTTCTTAGGCACTGGCTTCCTTCCCACTAGAAGCCGAAGTTTATTCTATTCTTTTATTGAATAATATTGATCTCAATACGAATAAAGACGTTTAAAAGGAAAGACAGTGGAGAATACGATGCAAAGCCCGGTTTAAAAAAATACCATCTACAACAGTGACAATATTCAAGCTGCTACTTTAACACATGCAAAATTTTGTAACACAAAGCAAAGATCATTTTTTTCAGCGAATGAGATATTGCACATTTCCAAAGATAAGTTGGTAAGAGCAAGCACAGGCATAAATCTAGGAGCCCGATTCAACAACATAGTATCCTTCGGGAAAGCCAAGCTTTTCTGCTTGTTCGACATATCGTTTAAGCCTGGAGGATTCACACCTGATCGACCGAAAGAAGCCCCTTTCTACCCCTTTGTCCACTCCCTTTTGTTAATTCGTATCGCTGTATCTGCTTCTTTGCCGAGATGCTTTTCGCCGACTGCATCGTTTTCCCCAACCGTATGGTCCGCGGGAATATAACGATACGTAAACGCGATCACCGATGACTTTTGGATATCCAAGAGCACAAATGACGGTATCACATTCAGATCATAAGCGGTGAAGGCACCTGTGGCCGAACCTGGATCCACGAAGAGATGGGAGTCGAACTCAAAAATCTTCGAGAGGTGGGTACCGCCAGAGATCAACAAATCGACATCCAGCTGCCGTTGAAAAGCCGCCAAAGACTCTCTATCGCCGAGTGGGACGATCTGATGGCCATGGACGAGCCCCACCTTGAGATCTTCGACTTCGACCACTAGAGATTCCGGTAAATCCTCCATGTCGGCGTGATCAAAATCGCCACGGGTGCAGTAGACTTCGGGGAAAATCGAATAAAGGTACCGAAGCATCGCCTTCGAGGTAACGTTCCCAGTAACAAAAACCATCTGGATGCGGTCGGGATGAAACATTTTTCGAAAGGCCTCATGTATGTGCGCGGCACGCTGAGGAACGTGTAGATCACCCAAAACTAAAGCTAAAACCATTTGTATATATTACCTGTCGTATGACGATATCTAAGGTCCTTTTTAGTGTATAATAACGAATGAAGAAATGTCTTTTAAACGATAATCTATTTTATTTTCCTTTGTTTTCTGTGAGTATGTTAGGGAAAGGGGGAATGGTTTCCGTTACTCTGGACCCGCCCAAAGACTAATGATTGGAAAAAATCTCACAAACCCAAAACATATAATGTTAAAAGCAACCATGAGCGATACGGGATTAATCAATGTATGAGGACTAGGGTGAACTCCCTGCTGATTAGCACTATAAAATTAGATTTAGGGAAATTTGGAATTATTTTTACCCCTTTAAGGAAAAAGCTAAGCTATGGTGCACTACGCCCCGACAAATTTCTTAATAGAGAAATTAACAGTTCATCACCAGAAGATTTCTTTTTTCAGAAGAGTTTCAGTTGCTTAAAGGGTTGATATCCATGAGGTCCCTTTAAGTTCAGAACAGGTTTAAGAGGTTATGTATCACTTGCACGCACATTCCCTGAACCGCATCCGCATCACCGGGGTCAATCTTAATCATCCTCGCAAGCATATCTTGATCTTCAATGATCAGGGCCCCTGCAGTGTGTCGGCAGGCCCCGCGCGCCACGATTCGCTCAATCGCTTCGTCTGAGATTTCGCGAAAATACGTCATGGTGTGATTTGGAGCGGAGACCATCTTCTTTGTGGCAAAATGATAGACTACCGTTGTCTGAACGGTGGCGACGCTGCTGTTGGAATAACTTCGGATAAATGCCCGACATTCCACATCGCTGACGGGCTTCTCGCGGATCTCCCCACCCGAAACCACCACCTGGTCGAACGTTACCGCAACGCTATGTTGATTGGAGTGCACCGAGAGCCTCAGCTTCTCGTCACTTTCAATCAGTTGTCGAATTCTATCCATCTTGGCCTCCGCAATTAGCTTGGTGAGTGTTTCTGGACAACTCGAGCGATACGCTTTTTCGTTAATGTCGGGTGATAAATATAGCAATTCAAATTTATCCGAAAAGTGCTTTACAGCCAATTGTTGGCGTCTCTCGGAGCTCGTCCCGACGATCATGATAGGCTTCATTATTTCCCTTCTATTAGCTTCCGCAATGAAGGGATACACAACGGGAAGCACAGAATGGTATCAATCCCTTTTATCTCTTGTGAACGAGGACCCACGTATATGGGGAGGAGAGGAGTTGGATAAGAGGAAGGGACTGAGAGATGGAAGAAACACTTGATAGTAGCCTCTCCACGTTTGAGAGTCTCCGTTGAACGTGGAGTAGAGGAGCCAAGAACAGTGCAGACGTAAAAAAAAAAGTTACTACACACAGTAGGGCTCGATGACGCGATACGAGAAGTTCAAAGCTAGCTATATATATATATATATATATTGGATATAGATACACACATATTAGCAATCACTGAAAGAGATGCGTCATGATTCATCAGGAGAAAGAAGGCCCCTCACGCTAACAGTCTATTTGTGAAAACAACAAAAAGAAAGACAAATGCCAAAAGACAAATCAAAGCAGGCTTTTATATTCGTTCTCCTAAGTGCCTACAGGCTCTTCTTATTACGAGATATTTTTTTATCTGCTCTGGAAAAGAATAATAATAAGTGAAGAAAATCTCCGTGCTCTCTAAGCCAAGCGTGGAAATTTACTCAAGTCCTTAAGCTCAGGGGTTACGCTTAGAAAGCCGGTGAACTCCTTCCACTTGGAGCGGCTTTCCTTGAGGTAGTTGTCTCGCGCGACCTGATTTGTACTGAGCAATATCTGTTTCTGCAGCAACTCCCGCTGCTGCTTTCTCTGAAAACTCGCCGATTCCTCCTCGAGCCGCTCCATGAAAATCCTCAACCGGCTCCGAGGGACGTTGCTGTAATGCAAAATAAACGGGTGCTCCAGGAGCTGATCCACCGACCACCGCTTCGCCACATCCACACAGACGCAGCGGACGATAAAATCGCAAAAGTCCGGCGACCACGTCAGCGGCTTCACCATCTTCGTGAGCTTCAGCTCGTTCGTGTAATTCCAGAAGTCGGACTTGAACGGACTGCAGGGGTGCACCCCACAGGCGAGCTCCAGCAGCGTGACCCCGAGCGACCACACATCCGCCTTCTCGTCGAATTCGATCACCTGATGCGCGAACGGGGAGTCGACGATGCGGCCATCCTCCTCCTCCTCTTCGGGGGCGGCCTCAACCCCGAGGCTGGCGGGATCCTTCCCGATCAACCGCTCCGGCGCGCGGTAGAGCTTCGCGCCGAGGTCGACTCCCGAGCAGCGCACCTTCCCCGTCCGCGCGTCGATCGCGCAGCCGCAGCCGAAGTCGCTGATCTTAAAGCTCTGCTTATCAAACGAGAGAAGAATGTTCTCCGGCTTGATATCGCAATGAACGATGCGGTAGTCGGTGTGGAGGGCGCGGAGGCCGGCGAGGGTATCCGCCGCGATCATCGCGAGGATGATTTCCGGGACCGCCGTCTGCCGCTCCGCCGCGCGCTCCCACGCCTTTGGGGTGTTGAAATCACGTCGGCCGAGGACCTGCGAAGGGGGGCCGAGCTGCCGTTTTAGGCCCCGCGCGAGCCCGCCTTCCTCCGGCGCGTGCTTCGCCATGTAACTTTTAAAGGTGGATTGCACGAGTTTCATCAGCTCGCGATGCGGGATGCGGGCGACCATCTGCTGCATCTTATCCACCCCAAACGACATCAACTCGAGGAGGATGCTGAGCTGCTGTTGCCCGTTCAACGAGGCGACGGCGTTGAACATGCGCATGAGATGGGTGGCAGGGGGGGTGGATTGCTGGAGGCGAATCATATTCAACTCCTTCACCAACCCCCGCTTCCGGCCCTGCCGCTCCACCGCATTCGTCGCCTGCATCGCCGCCTTCACGTCGATGCACTTCAACGCGTAGAGTTTGCCCTCCAGCCGCACGCAATACACCTTCCCCTGCGAGCCCCCATCGATGAAATGAAGCACCTCCACGTCGTCAAGATCAAGCGAGTGGTTGCTGTGGCCGACGTCCTCGGCGGAAAAGACCTTCGACTTCGAGGAATTCCCCGCGGAGGATCGCCACGAGGCCGCACCACGGCCTCCACGACCCCGCAAACCCGCCGACTCCACCCCTTCCACGCGAGAGGGGGGGAAACTCAGCTTTCCTTTCAACCCAATCCGCCCCCCCGGCTCGCGAGGATGGGGCTGTGAGGTGGAAAGCCGCGATTCGGTCTTGGCGGGCGGCAACACCGGCGTCGAGGCCCCCCCTTTCGCCGACGGCGTGGCGCGAAAAAAAGGCCGATTTGAGGCTGTCGCGGAGGACCCCACCGACGGGGCGTCGCTGGGGGGGCTTTGAGAGCACCCTGGAGGCTCTTTGGGGGGCCGCCGCCAGGCAGTGGCGAGGCCGTAGCCGAAGAGAGGAACCCCGCACGGCTTCAACGCCCCGCTGAAAAACGAAAGAAACTCCTTCGAGGGCCCTTTCTTGGCGGCAAAGGGAACAGAATGAGGGCTGGAGATGGAGCTCGGCTTCGAAAGATGCTCCGTGGAGGCGGATTTCGCGCCGGGCGCGACGGCTTCGTGCGGGGTGGTAGGGTGGATATTGGAGACCTCCTGCTGAATGTAGCGAATGGCGTTCTCCACAGCATCCGTGGAGAACGACGATGCCCGCTGGTTATGAGGCCTGCTTTTTACATCTAAACTCCTTTCCCCTCCCCCTCCTCCTCCATCACCACCACCGCGAGCTGGGATCATCTCACTCGTTGTAGACTCAACCGCGTCGGCTGATTTGGAGGTGCTAAGGGCCTTAACGGACATCTTGTTAAGGATCTGCTGCCGAAGAAGGGGATCTTCGTCACCAGTAAAAGTGGATTTGCCTTCGAAGAACATCGAAATACCATCTATTAAAACAAACAAATTGGTATTGTTGACATGGATGAACTTGGCTGGACCAACACCAATATTGCTGCCGGTGCTGTTGATGGTGCTTCCTGGTGTGGCCGTATTGCCTAACCCGTTGTTTACGGAAGCACCAACCGCGTTATCATTGGCAGGATGGGTTTGGTTTGTATTTTTGAGAGAATCCACCGGTGCCGTCGTGTTCACGCCTGTTATAGACAGAGAGCTACGAAAAGTGCCCGGGTCGTGGGTCTGACTAAGATCCATCGTTACAATCGGTGATAGAATGGCGTCATCCCCGTTGATCAGGAATTTGTTGACCTCGTATTCATTTTTTTGCTGGACTTGAACCTCGCCAGGGGAGCCATCGCCTAGATTAAGAAAGAAGCCATGAGGGGGCGTCCTCATTCGTCGTCTGGGCTTCATTTTCACAAAAGGAAAAAAGATCTGATGAAAGCTTAAAGAATATAGGCCGACGTTTCGATTTCTTTATTTACCTCTTGAAAAAAAAGACACCACTAGGAGTGTGGACTTGAGAGATTGATATTAAGGAGAAAAAGGGGATTCTCGGTTAAGATAATGAGTTTTACCTATCCGTTATCAAGGGATATGAGTTACCGAAATCAAACCTATCTACTCCTTTACCATAGAAAAGGTGTGGAGAAGACAAATCCAATAAGCAAACGACGCATATATATATATATATATATATATGGGTGTCAAAAGGGTTAGTACGGAGAGGCAAGTGTGAATATAGCCCATTCTTCTTTATACACATGATGAAACAAGCGTGCGCACGATTTATAGAAAAGGCAAAGAAAGAGCCATTAAGGAAGAAAAAACACACACCACAAAAGTAGAGTACAAAAATAGCATTTTAATGATGAATGAAATAAGCAGCACCACAGTATAGATCAGTCATCATCCTCCTCCACGACGGACTCCTTCGTGAAAGTTGAGCGCGAGTCTAGGGAGGGGGGGTTACGCACCCACGCATAGCGCACATGCGGCGGCGGCAGCTGCGTATCCGCCACGGCCTTTTCGGAGCCCACCGAGGGCGCCCTTTCGCCTTCCTGCGTGGAAACGTCGCCCAACACGGGAAATTCGAGAAGCGATTCGAGGTACCACTCCGCGAACCGGAACCCTTCAGATGGTTTCCCGCCTAGGATGGAAGAATCCGCCCTCCCAAGGGTGCCGCTGTCGGGAAATGACGGCAAGCTCTTGGCGTTTCCGGAGTTCAAAAGGGAATTTTCCCGCATCGAGAGGGCGTTCATCCCGAGCTCCTCCGTATTCGCGCGGTAGCCGTCTTCGTCAGCGTCATCCTCGGAGTGGGGGAGAGCGCGTTCCGCCTTGGGGTGGGTGGGGATTCCATCCGCCACAGCCCCCTTCCCGCGCGGATTGCACGTCTTCGAGCTCGCATCCACCTGCCTCATCCACTCGCGATTCCGCAAGACGATATCGAACTCGCTGATCGGGTTTTCCTCCGGCACCCACATCGAAATAAAGTTCAGCACCTGAGACTGTGTAGACCGTGTGAGGCTCGTAAAAAGCTCACACTCATTAAATATCGCCGACAAACTCCAGTTTTGATAGCGACGGAGGCAGCCAATCAACACATTCGTCTGCATCTCACCGGTCGGGCAGGCGAAGAGGATGGGATGCCATCGCGCGTCGACCGCGAGATCCAACCCCCGCATCACATCTCGTTGGCTGAAATCATGCCCGCTGTTGAGCGCATCCTCTCGCCAGCTTCGCATGTTTGCCAGCCGCAGCACGCGAATACCTCTACAAGGTGCGGAAGAGGTATTTGCCAACTCCGCACCTTTCCCATTCGTGGATGACGACGGCAGCAGCCGGGTGTTGGAGAGCGAGTTTAAAGGGGAGCTCGGCGAGAAGCGGCCTTGCTCGATGCAAACTTTCAGTGGATCTTCCAGTGCCTTCAGAACCTTCGCCGCGAGGGACTCTATGGATAAAAGAACAAGCGTTTTGATGCCAATATCACGTAAATAAGGAATGTTCGCCTCGGTAGGATACGCGCTGCGGTAGACATCCTTGACAACCATGGCAAAATTCAATGGGGGGAAATACGACACATTGTTCTGGGCGCCATGATGCATCGCCTCGTAGAAAACCAAATAAAATATTTTTTTACAGTTGATTTAAATCACAATAAGCCCACACGTAAACAGACTTTAATATGTTACCTTACTTAACTATTTATGATGTCGCTAAAAAAACCTACGACAGGTCTGGTCAACTTTATTAGACTTCACCACAAGTTCTTAGTAAGAACGTTAACAATATCCTTAGTAGGGGAAAGACAATTCAAATAGTAAATGAGAAGAACAAAAAGAGAATTGAGAATAACAACAACTGTATCCCGAATAAAAAAGGACCATCTGAACCGATGCAAGAAGAGAAATAAAAGCACAGTTCCTTCGTTACTTCGGAAATATGGAGGATACAGAAACAAAATTGGGCTTATCTTTGTTTCCTTTCTTTTTAAAAAAAATGTTCCCTTTTTCTTTTTCCTACATTACTTTGTTCCTCCCCCTCCTCCCTCCTTTTAAATAATTTTACGCTTAATCTAAATAGTTAACAATAATAGGGAAAGAGGCGCGATTATCGTTTATTAGTACCATGCTTGACGAAGTCGAACCGCATCATCTTATACCCACAGGAGGGAGTCTCATCAGAGGGCATGAAAAACTCTCCCTCCTCTGCCTCCTTCCCAGACGCACACGAAATGCACCAAATGGAGATGAAACGGCACGCTACTTTCTCCCTTTTCCACAATTACACCTCTTCCATATCACGAAGGATTCCACAAAACACTCGAACGCACTGAGAAGAGAAGGGACTTATGAGACGATAAAAAAACCAAAAGAGAAGCGGAAAGCGCGTCATAACATCCTCCTCCCTCCTCCCCCTCTTCCCTTTCCCTCCTATTTTCGCATACTTAGAGACTTTAGTTCTGGTCCTCCGACTTCGTAACGATCACGTCATCAATCTTCAAGATCATCTTCACGACCTGCATCGCCAACCGAAGCTGGGAGCACTTCCCGTGGAGGGTTTCGAAGACCCCTTGCGTCTTCATATCAATCGTTCCATTATCCATGCAATCGATCCCGGCAAACGGGTTGTTTTCTTCCACCTGCGCCTTCCGCGCAGCGGAGAGGGCGAGGATCGCGTCGAGGCCGCTGTTCAACGCGAGGTTGATCGGGATCGTCTCCAGCGCGTCGGCGAAGGCGCGAATCGCGTGCTGCTCCACCGTGGGCGTTTCATCCGCGTGGCGGAGTACCGCGAGCGAGGCCGCGATCTCCGCCGACCCCCCGCCATACACGACGCGGTTATCCCGGATGAGATTGCGCACCATGCAGATCGCGTCGTGCAGGGCGCGTTTGGCCTCCTCGATCATCATGTGATTCCCACCCCGGATGAAAATCGTCACCGCGTGGCTGTTCGGGCAGTCCTCGAGGAAGATCATGCGATCCTTCGTCGTGCCGAACCCCACCTCGCGAACGCGCCCGCAGCGGCCGAGTTTCTCCGCCGAGAGGTCGGCAAAGCGGGGAACGATGCGGCCGCCGGTGGCGATCGCGATCAGCTCCAACTCCACCCCCCCTACCCACCGCACCGCGGGGAGGTCGTGATAATAGAGGAGGTAATTCGCCTCGTCGTCGAAGCCCCATTGGCAGATCACGAGATCCGCCCCGGCGGCCTTGCAGCGCGCGATCTCCTCGCGGAAGTACGCCTGCTCCTGCGCGTGCAGCTCCTGCATGTGGGCGGCACTTGTGATCTGCAGGGTGTGCTTCGTCTTCGGCTTCGGGGGTTCGAACGGGCAGGTGAGGATCGCGATCCGCGGGTTCACCAGCTCCTTGGGCATCTGTGGGTGCGAGAAGTCCTTGTCGATGACGATCCCACGCACGAGGCAGGTCTCCTCCAGCCGCCCCCCGACCTTCCCTTCCACTTTGATCAGGTCGAGGTTCACATCGCGGCGCGCGAGATCGGCGACGGAGAGCACCGCGTCGACGCAGATCATCGCCATGTGATCCCGCACGCGATTCACCACCTTCGAGTTCAGCGTCGAGCGGGCGGTCTGGAAGAGGTAATCCTTGCCGTCAATCGGGATCGTCTCCGCGATCTCCTCCAGCCGACGGCAGGCGATCTCGCAGGCCTGCTCGAAACCCTCGGAGATGCGGGAGCTGTGGATGCCCTTGTCGAGAAGCCCCGCCGCCTGCTCGAGGAGGGCGCCGGCGATGCAAACGACGCCAGTGGTCCCGTCGCCGATCTCGAAATCCTGCGATTTGCTCAGCTCCACGACGAGCTGCGCGATTTCGTTGTCGAGATCCATCCGCTCGAGGATCGTCGCGCCGTCGTTGGTGACGACGACGTCGTTATCGGGGGTCGTCAGGATTTTATCCATCCCGCGCGGCCCGAGACTCGACTTCAGGACGTTCGCCACGCTGAGGGCGGCGAGGATGTTCACCTTCTGCGCCTCCACCCCGGTCACCCGCTCCTTCTGCGCCTGCTCCTTCACCAGAAGGAAGGGACGGCCGAACTCATCAAACGCCAGCGACATCGTGCTCAATAAATTGCTTTCTTAAAGAAAAAAAGGTGTTAGTTTAGCTATATATCTATATATCTATGTATATATAGATATAGATATATAATATGTATATATAGATTGCTATGGATATTTACTTGTTCTTTTCAAAACGAAAGATCGACAAATTAACTGCGGTATAGGCTTTCTTGGTCCGTTTTCGAGGGATGTCGAGGAGAAGGGGAAAAGGAGAAGGTGCGCAGCAAGAAAGAGAAAAGGATAATCTCAAAAACAAAATCCGATCCACATAGGAAGGAATATTTAAAGCGATAGGTTGTCTCGCTATAAAGGAATCCAAAACAAGCTCTCGTGTTCTATTTCTACGCATGAAACATCTTGTACATTCTATGAGAGGACCCACCTTCCCCTTTATTCCGATGGCAGGGGTTCGTCAGTGGTGGAGGCGAGATAGACCCCTGACTTTCCGTAGCGATGCTGCCTGACCAGCCCCTTCCAGAAGTTTATAATGCGCTGAAATCGAAGACCCTTATCACTATACTTCAGCACATCCGAGGTGGTTGCCACCTCCGTGATGGGGTTTCGCAGCATTTGATTCGGCCACGGTGCGTTTTTCTTGCCCCTCCCGTTCGGATAAATTCGCGGATGCGTTCGATCCCAGTGCTCGTTGGTGAGTTGACGACTCCGCGCGGCCGTTTCCTGCCGCGTGATGGCATCGCCGCCGACCAACTCGGCGAATCGTTCCGAGGCGCGCGCGTCGGAGGCGAGGATCGCGTTATGCGTGCTTCGCGGGCAGCCGGCGACGGTGATTAAGGTGCATTCGCCCGGAAGAGAGGGGGGGGCGGTGAACGACCCCCCGGCGGATGCGTGAAACGCCTCAAGAAGCGCGCTGTAGGCGGGCACACACGACGCCGGGATCGGGGTCGGGCTGCGAAAGGCCGCGAGTTGGTAGGCATCCGCCCAGACGATCTCCTCGATCGGAAATTTCACATTGAGCGGATTGTACCCCTCGGGTGCGGTGCAGAGGCTGCCGTCTTTGGATTCCCACGCCAACAAACCCGACCCCGGCGCCGGCGCCACAAAGGCGTGGCCGTCCGGCAGCAAACAAACCGGCGCGCGTGGGAGCGGGAGCAGCGTCTCCACCACCCTCACCAACTCCCCACCGGTTGCGTCGAACAGATACACCACCGGAACCTTCCCGGACGAAACGAGGGCAAAAAGGCCTTTCACCTGCACCTTCGCCGCGCCCTCGCAGGGATTTCGCCGCCAAAGTGTCATTCGCCAGTCATTTTTCTCCTCGTCCAGATCCCCGGCGGGGGGAACGCGCCAGCACAGCACCACCCCCGCACTCCCGACCATCCACACGATATTTCCCGTTTCATTCGAGGCGAGGCTGAGCGCGTAGCCGGCACTTCCGAGATCGGCCCTTCCGATCAGCCGCCCTTCCAGGCACGAGGGGGGAAGAACTGGGAGGGCCCATGGGGGGGCGAAGGAGCTGCCCGCCGCGGCGATGGGCTCCGATCGCTCGCTGTAGACGCTCTCCCCGTCGGAATCGGCGGCGAGCGCGTGATCGTACCGCCACGCGACGAGCCGGGAGCTGAACCCCGCGGTGAGAATCACGTCTTGATGGAAAATCGCGTGGTGGATGGGAAACGGATGCGGCAGGACGCAGCACCAGGGGGCGGCGCCGCCGGTGGGATCC